GGGGGGGGGGGCAGGTGCTGCATGCAGGCTATTGCGGGGTAGACGCTGCATCGTGCCTCCCTGGGGCGGGGTGGATGGCTTGAGGGGTATTGGAGGATGAAACTAGGTGTCTGCCCCAGCATGAGCTACCTAGGAAATTCAAGGATGCAAGTGTCATAGTCAAAAAACCCCTGCCATTTATCGTCACCTCTCACTGGATTGCACACTACCCCATGGGCCAGAAGAGGCAATGCTGCCCCAGTCACATCACCCCCACCACCCAGCAGCCTGGTTGTGCAGACACAGGGGCCAGCAGGGTACCCACGGGATCAACAAGACGCTCTGGTCTCCACACCCAGCCTCACTGCAGGGAGGGATGGGACCCACTGGGCACACGGGCATCAGCAAGGGGATGCCCTGAAGTCTGGCTGGATGGCGGTAGGCAGCCCTCGCCTAGGAAACCCCAGGATGCATCCCGCTGCCTCGCTCCCCGTGTCAGCCCTCCCCTTCCTTCCCTCCAGCCGCCGTCGCAACGGCGTCTTCTCCTGAGGCTTCTGTATTTATACTGGGGGAGAAATGCAGTTGCCGGGACTGGAAATATTTTGTTACTTTTTTTTTTTTTTAAACTTAAGCACGAGGCGGTTTTATCGGTGCTCTCTGGAGACTTTTGCTACAGTGGGACTGATTTTTATCCACTTATTCATTGCACTTTAGTTCAATAATGATTACAGAACTTCTACATAATATATTAGGCAGAGCTGATTTCCCAGGGTTTGTCACCCTCCTTCTCCCTCAGCATTTAAAAGGAAGCTTTTTTTTTTGTGTGATGGGTAGGTTATGAATGCGCCGCTCTTCAACAGGCTCGATGGAGCGCTAGGAGCAGTGCCGGGCCAGGCCTGATGGTGCAATGGTTGCAGGTGAGCCTGGCGTGCCAAAATAAAGGGGCCTGGGTTAGAGACATCTCATGCGTTATGTCCTTGCTGCTTGACGGCACCTTGGGCACACGGATGGGACTCGAGAGGAGGGAACTGGGCAGGCACGCCTGCCTCCGCCCTATGCCATCCACAGCAGCCCCTTGCCTGCTGTGGCTAGTGCTGGATGAGGTCTAAGAAGCTGCCTGATGCTGTGTTGCCCAGGACAAAAGCAGGATTTGGGGTAGGTCTGAGGAGAAGGAGAGTTGAGCTTCACCATGAGAAGCAGGGACGCACCAGGCTTTTTCTGCCACCTGCATCCTGCCCTGGCTGCCAACCATGGCTCCTACAGCCAAAGGCTGCTATTTATCCTCTCCTTTCACTGGTGGCTTCTCTGGTGATGGCAACATCTCAGCAGCTGCCTCAGTTGCGTATCGTTAGGCAGATGCTGCTTAATTCTCTCTTCAGCCCCCCCACATTGTCATTTCCAGTGGGGTTATACAGCACATACTGAGACAAGTGAAAAAAC